AGAGTCAGTATACCCTCTTTGTTCAGCTGCTTGTTATATAGGTCAGAAAAGGCTTGTTTCGTGATTTCTCCAGCTTATGAACCTCTGCCTTGACCTGCATTTCTAGAAAAGAGCTAATAAAAGGAAGATTAATCTTGTAAAAGAAATACCCGTATTCCAACCGCACATATTGGTACCTAACACAGAGACACAGCTGTAGCCCAGACCAGCTAATGTTTCTCTTCTCTGTTATGCCCGGCCGCCTCACCATTTGCTACAGGCTCTTGGTTGTTTCAAACATTTACATAAAAACACCAACACACCACAAGGAATTTTCCTACCATTTTCAAGCAAGTCCATTTCCTCTTACACATCTTGGGCTACCTTCATCCACTGAACCATGCAGATCTCAGTACATCAAGAATTAAAAGGTTTTTTTCCCTCTGATACTTACCAATGAAAAGATGCACAGGTGGCATCATTTCCAGGCTATGTTATGTGTCTACTTTGTTAACCAAACTATTTGGAATGCCCCAGGTTCTTTGTTTTCCCCTACATTCTCTAGCTCTTACTTCACTTTGTTCCCCACAGTTCTACACCTGTAACTCTCCACTCTATTCTCTCTCCATTTCACATGTTCCTTTCTCCAAACCATCACTAAGCCACCTTTTCATCAGTCCCAGCCCATTTCTGCCTCCACGCTTTATTTATTTGGACCCATCCTCACTTCAGGTCTCTTTTCTCCACAAGCAGAGTCACCGTTGTGCTTCCAGGTAACAAGAAAATAATTTCTTTTGTGGGCTTAAGCTCGTATTTTGTAATATTATACTCTCAGCTGAGAAGAGACAGAAACAACAAATACTGTGTATGTTTGCTCTGCAAATATGTACATATTTAAATCTGCACACACATACGCATTGTGGTCTGGGACCCTGGAACGCTCAACGGTGTTCTTAACTGTAGGTTGGGACAGCAGATTCTGTGTTATCCCCCAAACTAAGGATCTGCCTTACTATTTTTTTGCTAGTCATTCTCACAGAAAACTTTGGTTCCCAGGGTTAGGCATCAGACCCTATGTATGCACTCATTCCTCAAAAAAACCAACCAAACAAAACCCAACCCAAACACCACGAGGTCATCACTCCCTAAACTGACATCAAAAATTCAACCTTTGCCCAACAAGAGAGTCATGTATCCTCAATTCAAAAAAAGGCAATTAAAATGGGAAGAAGCGGGGACGGTGCACATCTGAGAACAGAGGCTGAATGCTACTCCAGTGAAGGCATTATTCATATTTTATTCAGGGAGACCTTTATTTTTTTTTCTAATCCATCAAATACAGTTCATATTACCAAATAATCTATATCTAGCTCATGACAAACTATAAAATATTCCACATCCAACTCACTTACTATGTCTACCTGGTAACAGCTCAAGTTTGTTCACTTTCTGCACACACAGAGCCCAGCTTCCTCTCCATCACCACCTTCTTTGGAACGATCGGTCACTACTTCTGTTGTCAGCAAGTTTGTTTTCTTAACGGTAATAAAGTACTCCCACTGGCTATGCAGGCACTGATAACTCAGAACAGAAGAAGTCAGGAATAAAGTATGAATCCAATCACCCCTCCAAAATACCCACACCTTAATCATCTTTGATAAACCTCACCAGAGTTTTGCTCCTCACTATTCACTACAAAGTAAATACTTAAGTATTAAGTACTTCCAAACACCTGACACAAGCTACTATTAAGAGAGCAGTGTGACTGTTCTGCAAACAGAGTTGGATGAGACGGCTTTTCTTGGTGGTAGTAATCAGAAAGCATTTATCTTTATTTCCACAAGCCAGTCAGGAATGTGCAACATTGACTATATCCTTTTTAGCAGAAGATGGATTTGCAGGTTTAGTCTCTTGATCAGATCTACATTCCCGATTACAAAAAACACAACACAGTGCCTAAGTTGTTTTTCTAATACTACATTCCCAAGAAATTTTTAATTTGTCCAAGTTCAAGAATATTCTCACACCCACCCCCCACTCCAAAATCTTGATACAAAATCTGATTACAAGTTAGACTTCTTACCAACTGGCAGTAAGGCAAACAAGACATTCAGAGAAACAGCGTATTTTCATGGGTTTTGTGGCCAGAATGACATTTCCACTCTGGGGAAACTCCTCTTTTCTACCTTTCCACTTTTACTCCATAAACCCTGGGCCACCAGGTCAGATCCGCAGGCTTGGAACAGACCACTCAGCTATAGGATGAAACTCTACATTTGCTCCTGTCTACGCTCAATTCTTCCCAGGCACCATTAATTTTAGGCTTTTATACAGTATGTGGACAAAAAAGTTCAAGTTCTTTCCTCCAGAAACAGTTAATTGCTCTCCAGTAACGATCTGAGATAAACAAGCCCACCTGATACAACTCTAGGCTTTCCCAGACGTGTGAAAACATTGCCTGGAGAGCCAACATCCCCAAGTAATGAAGGAATTCCCAGTTCATCTCATTGGAAAAAGACAAAACGTTCAGAAGTCTTCCATCAGGAAAATGTAGAACTCAAGAATTCTTGCAACTTAAAGGTTTGGTCTTAATATTTGTTTCACAAACAGTAAAAGGTTATTACACAGAGTATTTGTTTTCAAAAAAACTACAGATATTTATTGAACAATTGAGACCACCGGAAGTTTTCATAATTAGATACTACAAAATGTGTGAGTTTTTATAAAAGTATACGCCAAGTTGCCTACCGGACTGAACTAATTTAACTACAGACAGCAGATAAAGAAAACAGTTTCACTACTACCCTTATAAGCAGGCAAGTAATGACAGATTAAGACATACTACAATATACAAACAAATATTTCTTCCTTAAAAACAACATCAGTACAAAGATTTTTCTTCTCACTTCTATTGATTTAGTTTAGTCTTGTTAGGAGCAGGTGGGCACCTCTTGTAGAGAAGTATCAACAGAAGTCTAAGTGGACCTCTAAGTAGACCTGAAATAAACAAACTGCATTTCAGCAAGCAATATTTAGAGTGATCATAAGCAGGTAAAACGTTCAACAGTCTGTAAAAGCAGAAATGTGTAGAAAGACCACCGTCATTTATATCAAGATACAATATCTGATAGCTTAGTGATCAAAAAGCTGATCTTGCCAAGTTTTCTGTATGTAATATGGCACCACCTTGATGCATTTAAGAATGCATCGTGCAGAAATGCTATGATCCAAATTAATATGCAAAAAGACCACTATGAAACAACTATTAGTCTTCTGTCCTAAGTAACTTATTTTTAGAATAAACCAGAGATGACTCACACTACCGTAACATTAAAATATATGCATCATTCTTAGTGCCCTAAGGTTGGCACAAGCAACTTGTAAATGTCAGAAGAGCATATAAACCTTGTTAATGTTTTCAGAAATTCATTTAAAGATAGAAACAGGTCCAAAAAGATGCCTGTCTAAATGCATTGCAATTACGTTACAATTATTTTCCAAATACACAGATATGCTCTGTCTTTTCTCAGCTCATTACTGACTCAAACAATTTGCCCTTCTGGGATCAATTGTTTGCTAATAAATAATTGTTTACAGTCACAAAATGATATTAAGGAGTATTCTTATTAGTTTTCCTTCTACAGCCTAATAAGATTCAAAACTAGCTGATTCCCAAGAGTCTAACCTTAACCTTGCTGTGTTTAACAGCCCAGGAAATGATGAACCATCTGTTTCAGAAAATAATGGAGGGCCAAGAGGAAATATTGTTTAATTGTAGATTAACCTCCTCATACGGCAGAATGAAGCATCTACAGAATTAGCAACCATAACTAGCAATGAACAAAAATAACAAAGCAGCTCTTTCTGTTACAAAACTAATAGCGGCAAGTATTCTTTTATCACCTTTTTTTTACCCTCCCAAATGTATGTAACAAGCACAAACCGATTTTAAAAATAATTATGAATTAACATCTTTTTTTTTTTTTTTTAATTGAGAAAGCCCCAGAAATAAATACTGAAATAGTTCTGGTTTTATTTTTCCATGGGTATCAAAATTATCTTAAAACAAACAACCCCAAGTAAGAGATGGTGTATTAATTCTTCTGTAACTTCTACCTCACATCTCCACAGCGATAAAAGGCTGCTCCGAAGCAATACACAAGTCACTTAAGGAAGGGGGGGAAGGTCTTGAGGTTTTAAACCTCAAGAACTTTCATCACTTACATGTGTCTATTTACATAGCCACTTAGATACTAAATAATGGAGACAACCAGATAAAGTGTAACAGTTTGAGTACTAGAAGTAAAAAAAAAAAAAAAAATAGCAATGACAAGCCACAGGAATTTGAAAATAAAAACAACTGCTCCTGTGCTAGCATAATGAAGAGTAGTGCAATTCTGCACTGTGACGGCAATTTTTCCACGTAACATTCATGCCAAAGCGAGCTTAACAGAAATCTTTTACCTCCATCAATCAGTTTGCCCCATTTTGACAGCAACAATGATAGAAAAGTGTGTTATCACAGGGCTGCAGCAAACTCCAATACATGGGAACTGAGAAAGCTTTTCCTTGGTTTTACACAACCTTCCTACAACAGTATCTAGATTCACGTCTGGCTGTGACAGCTAGATGCATACTCAGTGTGTAAAGATTTCATTAATTCTAAGTTTTAAATATCCAAACATAGTAACATTTACTCAAATAAATTATTCTTGAATTCTTCGCTTAATTCTTGAAGCAATGAGCTAGCAATAACTCCACAGCTTCATATAATAGCACCTATTCAAAAAGGATAAGAGTTTGACATTCTTCTCCTACTAAACAACTAGGCACAATTTTATCCATCAGACGTCTATCAACCTACGGATATTGAAAGCTTGGGCAAACAAGATAAAATCAAAACCAACCCTACTGTCAAGCTGCACTATCTACTGGCATCAATAATGCTATTCATGAATTTAGGAAAATTAATAAATCTTGGGATGAATGCTCAGAAAAGCTCAAATACAGGTGAAGCATACTCACTTAGGTTTTGTTTCTGCGTCTGTCACTTGGCGAATATAGATACCATCTTCAGGATGTTCAATGTCATCCATCTCATACATATATGAAGAAGCTATTGCAAGGGTAGTTCCATCATTGCTGAAGGCAAGTGATGCTATGCTTGTGGGATACCGATGGAACTGACACAGCCGCTTTTTATTAAACGGATCCCAAATATTTACAAATCCATCGGAACCTCCTGAAAATTAAATTTTAAAAAAACTGTTTGTAAATTGTAATTGGGAAAATGGCAAGACTGAAAAGACACATAAGGGG